TGACGGCAGAAAACCTCGAAACGCGTAGGTTTGAGTTGCTCATCACCCTCAATGCCACCATGGAGTCGACGGCAGCCACGTGTCAGAGACGTACCTCCTACATCCCTGACGAGATCCTGTGGGGTTATGAGTTCAAACCGGTGCTGTATAGCACTCCCAGTGGACGCTTTGTGGCAGACTTCAACTTTTTTGACAAGGTGCAAAAGAGCAGTGATCCAGACGTCCACAGCGACAGTTCAGAAAAGCTGAAACTCGAGAGGGAATTCAGGGAGGAATAGAGGATCTTAATTACTGTTAATTGACCTGAGGCTCAGCCACTGTGTTAATGTCCCTTACAGCTATGACCTTTGATTTAAACACGTAAAACGTTTATTTTGAATCATATAAAAGTGATTTTTTAACTACACTTTTAAGAAGACTAGAAACCTGACATGTGTTCACTGTAAAATTCTGTTTATTCGTTTAATCATTATGATGTTTTTTTGTATTAATATTCAAGTTAAATTAATTAAATGTACCAGAATGAAGGGCTAACAGCCCTGTATGATTCTTTCATTTGGGTTTTAATAATGGGAGCAGAGATGGGCAGTAACGCGTTACAAGTAACTGTAATCCGATTATTCTTTCAAGTAATGAATGAAAGGGATTACTATTGCAAAAAAGGTAATTAGATTACCATTACGTTCCCGTAAGCACGCTGCGTTACTGCGTTACTAAAACCGTGATTCTTTTGTGAGTGTCTCATGACAATGATGTAAGCAAGTGCCATGTTCCTGGCAACAGCTGTGTGCAGATCAAGAATGAATAATATAATGAGTGCGGGAGAGAGTATGAGCATGCAGCATTTAAAGCGTGGAAGTACTGACCTTACTTTGAGTTTGATTCCTTAAAAAGTGACAAAAACATTAGCGTCCGCTGTTCACTGCGTGGGAATAAAACTTCCGAGCAAGCACGAGTAGCTATGACATAATGGGAAATTCACAGAGAAACTCGCGGATTCTTCCACTGTCCGCTGCGGCACACCTGCACCAGAGCAAATCTCCGCCTACCCCACTCCTGCTATACAGGTGAAAATAGAGCGACTGGACCACTAGTCTTTGATTTTATTTATTTTCTGCTGTGTTTTACTTGCATCTATTTGAAAGACTGAGTGTAAACACAAAAACCTATTTTATTTTATGTGCAGGATTGTGCAGAAAATAGGTAATTAGTTACTGATTACTTTTTTCAAGTAACTTGAACAACACTGAATGGATCTCTTTATAAATGCTTTTGAAGACCTTTTTAGAATGAATAGAATGTTAAGTTATACACCGATAAAGTAAGAGTTTAGTATTTAAAGACGTGTTTTGGAGAATTATTTTATTATTAAGATTTAGATGAAGTAACTGATACTTCTTTCTGAGCTGTACTTAAATATGAAGCTAGAATAAGCCATTGCTTAGCTTAGTTGAGATAGAAAAAACAGTGCTCAAGTAGTCCTGTCAAAATATTTCTCTAAACATCACTACTAACACTTTACAGCTTGCTTTCTAATCGCTCCCAAAAAGCGAGGTGTAAAGATGTAAAATATCCCAGATTGTTCACTTGTGATTAAAACATTTCCTGCAGAGCCCCCTAAAGATCATGGCAAGAGTTTTCACTTGCAGGACTAGTGATGACACACAAACAGCTCATAGTGTTTGCGCATTTCATCTGAACAACAGTAGATCTGAACAAATTTTTTAGTGGAAAACCACGAAGACTCTCATATGATAAGCTTTTTACGTAACCATCAATCGATAATTGCTTGTTTCAAGTTTTATTTTTAAAATTGTTGTTACACATAACAGATGTTTTTAAAATTCAGAAGACATTTACAACTCTGTTTAGAAATTTTGCAAGCATTGAGAAATAGTTCCACAAAACAGTAGTTACTGAATATAGCTCGTGTTCTATGAATGTAGGCCCTCCTAACAGGCTTTCAGCACTGGGCTGATCAGACCTTCCTGTGAGACCAGATACAATGAAAGTGACTGAGCTGGATATTAGTGCCACAATTTAGACTGATCCACTCATTCTAAGCATACCAGGCAAAGATACATAGAATAAAGCAGAGATTTTCAAAGTGTGGTCCTAGTGGCCTGTGAAGGTACTACATGTAGCCGTGCAAGAAATTTAAAAAATAATAAAAAATTAAACCAATATGATACCAAAGAAAAATTTACTTTTATATTCAGGGCAGGGTGACCCCCAGATTTTCTGATTTTCAAATGGCTCAAATAAAGGGATGTAAGTGAGTGTGAATCTGGCTTGTAGTATAAAAATGAGTTGAGTGGTGTATCAATACTAGTCTGTTTACCACAGTAAATGTGCCTGCTTTGGTACAAATCTTTGAATCCTACTGCTGTGCACCATCTCTCTCGCTGACACCTGCTGCAGAATTGAATTTATATCATTATGGTGACACATCAGTTTAAGTTATTATTGGCTCAAAAACATAAATATGGGCTCTACAGTGTATCTGGCACTATAGTGCCACATGTATTTAAACACAGCAGTAGGTGAAGAAGAATTTGTCCTAAATGCTTCATGTAACGTTTCAGTTTCCATAATATCTGCAGGGTTTCGATTTTGTGGCTGTCAATACATAACTGGATTAGACAAACACCACCAAAATAAATTTCAAAGAAAACTTGCTGTGATCTTTAGTCGGCGCTATGATTTCTTCTTTAAATAAGGAGTTCCTCTGCAGCTTGAGTAATATTGCACCTGCCAGAGGATATTTCTACATATGTTTGAATCATCAGAAAAATGTTAAAGCTTATTACACATTTACAGTTGTTAGTGTATTCGTATGACTAATGTTGATTGTGTTATTCTTGGAAAAAAAAACAAATGTTACCTTTAGTTGTTGTGTTTTAGACATAAATATCATTATGGTATTATAATAATAAATCAGGGATTGTGATACAGGGGTATGTTATGTAAAAAGTAATAAAAACTAATCCCTTTTGTTAGTGTGTTTCTTTTTAGCTAAAAACAAAGTGTTGTTTTTAAATCATCCACTGCTTTCACCTCCCCCCAGCCCCTGTCCTCCCCCATGGTGGAATGGTGGAAAGTATATTTACTCATTCAGTATACACAACAGTTAATTTGACTAGTTGTTATATACAAGTAGTTATACAAAATGAATGCAGAAAATATTTTTTTTATACTTTTTTTTTTTTTTTACATCAGGGCATCTGTATAATATTAAATGAATGTGGGAGTTCTCTATAAAAAAAATACTTGCAAGAAAATTTGCATAGCGACAACTTCTTCACTGTAAAGAAAGTAGCACTGTAACTGAAAGATGAAGGGCTAAAGCCTTTCAAAGGACGAATGAGGCTCAGCCTGCACACAGTTGTCTTTAGCTGTCAGCCTTGTGTTGTGGCAACACTGTGGAGCAGCCATTGAAGTTGAGATGGCTGGTGGCGTTTGTGTCTGGTCCAAACAATACGGTCCAAAGTAACTAATATTTACTGTAAGAGACAAAGCAGTAACACGTCAGCAGAATTTTTCTTTCAGCTTGAAAAGCATTAAAGCTGCACTCAAGATGTCAAATAATGTGAGAACCACCGGTGAGATATTCTGGAGGTAACTCACAACCCCTGATGCAACATCCCTTCACATGAAATAAATGTTGAAGCCTGTGTTTGCAATGGAGTACACACATACAGTGATGTGAGCTGATTTGAAATGAAAGTTGAAAATATAATGAGCCACACACTAAAAGACAAAAGCCCCTGTTAAAGGATTTTATTTGCTGTGACATCTTGTGTGATGTTTTCTGCCTATAATCTGAGATGTTACAAGTATCCAGTTCCAGCTCCAGTAAGCAAAGAGGGACTTTATTTTCATTTTAATTAAAATTAAGGGTTTATTCACTTTTATTTTCTTAAAGAAAAGCAGTTTTTTGTCATGAGGTCTAGTTCCTGCCTTTTCTTCTTTTTCTTAACCTTTTTGCTTTTAGTTTTCCCAGGACTCACTTGAGAGATTATATCTTTCATCTTGCAGTGCTCCACAGGATAAGCCGGAGGAAGTGACTGGGTAGAGGAAAGTCTGGGCTTCTCTGCTTAGGCTGCTGCCCTTGCAACCTGGCCCCAGATACGCGCAAGAAGATGGATGTTTGTGGTATAAAAGGGGATTTATATAAAACAAATAAAACGTGTAACCTCATTCAGAATTACATAACTTTGACATTTGAGAGATATTAAATTTTCAATAACGGACTTTAATTGTTTGGTTTGTACAGCATATTGACAATATCCGCACAATAACACCTGTTACAAGTGCATCAAATCAAAAAACAAGGGACAACCTCATATATCTCATTCTGAACAATTAAAATCTAAACGTAAAGATAAGATTTTTATGTATTTGTTTTGTGTAAAGTAGCCCAATGTAGCCATCTAGTGGTAAAATCTAAAAGTGACTTTAAAATTTCCAAAATAAGAAGCAACAAAAAGGTAAACACTGTTAAACACCAATTTACATAAAAAATACATAAATAAATGCACAAATTTAGCATATCTAGTGCAGTTGCTGCTGGATTAAAGAAAATGTGTCCAGGTCTACAAATATTCAACATATATGTTGGTGATTAGCTAACACACAAAACCATGAAAGTAATTTATCTCAATATTAGTCTGAAGTGATGTCACTTTAAGACATCCCGATATGCTCCAGTACCAGTTGGTGGGTCACCTCCACTGTACTGTTCTACGCAAGCTGCAAAAACAGACCTGAGCACACAAAACCAAAATCTTTTTTTCTCTCCAGGCACCAGCAAAGCTATGAAGACAGTGTTTTTGTTTCATGGAGAGTGCTCCATAGAGTTTAACGTTGTTTTCAAGTTTGTTTGTTTTTTACCCTTTTGTAAATTATTTCTCTCCCTTTAGATTGTTTCGGTTTTTACTTTGAATCATTTGGACCGGAAATCCACATCGTCTTTCGCGTTGTCGCTTTATTGTGAAGGATCGGACCGACCGGATACGGTGTTGTTGTTAGTCCAAAACGGAACATGAACTCGGCTAACAGATGTGAAAATTAGCGCTTTTAGTGTGTTTGTTTTGATTAGTAAGGTGGAGGCCGGAGAGGAGGTAGCATTTTTTTTTAACTGACTGTGTGCCGTGTAATGATCAGAAATGAGCGTCACGTTGGATATAAGGCTGAAAAGAGCAAACAAAGTTTATCTAGAAGGGGTAAGTTGCCACAGCTAGCTAGCACCAGCAGCTTCTGCAACCTCGTCAGCTAACGTTAATAATACAGTATTTTTCTTTATTTATGAATAATGTAGCTATGTAACTGCTACTAAACCAATGTACTGTAACAACCCGAGCTAGTTATTTAGCTACCAGTCGCCGGCGTCACATGATCGGGCACCTGACTGTCGGTGTGACGGCGAAATGTGTCTGTTGTGAGGTTCGCCGCAGAAATCCTCACACGTTGATCAGATATATACACATAACATCGTAGTTTGTGATGGAAAATATAAGTGAAACCTCAAGCAGAGACTAATGCATCTACATTTTTAGAAGCCAAAAGTAACTGGACATTTGACTGCCAAGCAGTTCCAGCAATGATAGAGATAGAGTTATGGTATGGGTATGATCATGTGACTGCTGATAGAAGCAGGAGGATGAACTGTGAAGTGTTTATGGTTGTGTTCTCCATCAGATTCGGCAAAATGTTGCTAAACTGATCTTAGTTTGACCAATTGTTTTTGAGCTTTTGATAATTTGGGACTGTGTATACTAAAAGAACTGATAGACTGCAGCTCATCCGTGTTGCTTGGTGTGCAGGAAACAGTGGCTGGTGTCATCCTGCTGGTTTGTAAGGAGGCACTGCAGCATCATGGCATCTCTCTGAGCATGGAGGGAGTCGTGAATCTGCAGCTGAGTTCCAAGAGTGTCGGTGTCTTTGAGGCTTTCTACAACTCTGTCAAGGTGAACGTCTAAGATATTGTTTTAAAATCACTTTGAGTGGAGATAAAGACTAGTAAAAGGGTCATTTCCTTTACCATTTGACAAAGAAGTTTCACCAGCATAAATATGAGACAGAAGTATTAAAAAAAAACAAGAAAAAAGTAAATAAAATCATCATAAATTAATCATCCAGAAGTTTTATTTACCTGAGCTGAACTTTCAAACAAAACAAGACTATTATAAGCATCAGTCAGGCCTTTTGTTTTGAAATATTGTATTAAGTAAACATTTAATTAATTCAAAATATAATTAACAGACTCTTAATAAGCGACATAAACTGTTTAACCCATTGTTTTACTGTTTGAGTCCTTACTTTTCATCAAACAGTGTTTATCTGTCATTGATTTTGTGTTATATTTTACCTACAGGATACAAGTTTCACTTTATACGTTTATAATCATTGTACTCCTGGTTTAAAATGTTTGACTGCTAGGTCAGACTAACTGCTAGTCAAATTTCCTAATAATAATCACATTGAAACATGTTGCAGCCCATCCAGCTGATCAGCAGTAACATTGAAGTGGCCAAGGCTGGAAAAATCCCTGGAGGAAAGACTGAGATTCCCTTTGAGTTCCCTCTGCACACCAAAGGCAACAAAGTGCTGTACGAGACCTACCACGGAGTCTTTGTCAACATTCAAGTGAGTGTGAATAACATGGTGTATGTCAGGGTTTTCTGTTGCTTTCAGGGCAGCAGTGCAGTTTGTTTGGTCCAGACAAAAGAAAGAAGAACATGCGTTTTTATAGCTCTGGACCTTCGAAACAGACATTTAACTCAGTGACTGGACAGTTGGAGGGAAAATATCATGCATCGTCGTCAGCTTGGGTAAAAAAAGTTTTGTCCCTTTAATGAACCTCACCAGATTCAGTTCAAAGAATGGACAGACTCCTACATATCTTTAAGATATCACGCTGCCATGCTTCTTTTAAATAAACCTTGTAAAGAGTATAATGTTGTGGCATCCTGGCTTTAAACCTTTCTGTTCACTCCTCAGTACACCCTCCGCTGTGACATGAAGCGCTCCCTGCTGGCCAAAGATTTGAGCAGGAGCTGCGAATTCATCGTGCACTGCCAGGTGAGTGAAACACACCTGGTTATTGTTATCTGATCTGCTGTGTGTGAATAAGCTTACAGCAAACCTTTTCCATTTTACCCTGTTTCCATCACTGATAGGTAATAAAACATATCAGGTCAAATATGGTAAATAAATTATTTAATAACACTTTTATGGATCAGAATTACCTTTGAATATTTAATCATAAATATTTGATTGTCATTTCTAACTTTTTAAAATCATAATAAACTTTCATTGGCTCACCTGCAGCGCTCTCTCAGTGCACCAGGGGGCAGTAGTCCATGCTTTGGGAATCACTGTATTAACGGGACTTTTTTTAGGACTATACTGAGTCATTTAAAAGCAGCTGGATGATGATATTTTGTTTCTATAAAATTGACATATTGGTAGCCACAAAAGAAACGACATTTATACCAACAATTAGTTTCTCTCATTTTTGTGCCACTCACTTGTTGTTACAGACTTATTTACATTAGAAAAAGCTAATTTAACCTTTTTAATGCTCACCAATGCTCTGTAGCTCCTGTAAAATCTGTGCTCAGGTTGTCTTTTTTTTTTTTTTTTTTTTTTTTTTTAGGGTGGAAGTTTTTTGCTTTTAAAAAAAGACTTCTCTGTTTCCTCACCTCCTGATTTTGTTGAAAAGTTATCTTTTCTTCAGCTTTGTTAAACTGTGTCACATCATTTTCTGTTTGACTTCCAGCCTCAGAAATCTAAAGTCATCCCCACACCGGTGAACTTCACCATCACTCCGGACACTCTGCAGAGCCGCGAGGTCAGAAAACGTGTTAAATCTCTTCATTTTTATTTATTTATTTATTTTTTGCTTGATTTCTTAAAGTTTAAAGCTCTTCTCAATGGATGAACTTGCTTTGTGTTTTCAGAAAAATTCACTTCCCAAGTTTCTCATCCGAGGACATTTAGATGCCACCAACTGCGTGATCAGCCTGCCGCTTACTGGAGAGGTGGTGGTGGAAAACTCGGACGTCCCCATAAAGAGTATTGAACTGCAGCTGGTACGGGTGGAGACCTGTGGTAAGTGCACGCTGTGAGGCAATCAGTCTAACTTTCATTGGGCAAGGCCCAAGGTTTTATGAGCATCTGCTGTGTTCAGGCTGCGCTGAGGGTTACGCCAGAGACGCCACAGAGATCCAGAACATCCAGATAGCTGAAGGTGACGTCTGCCACAGCCTCGCCATCCCCATCTATATGATCTTCCCCAGACTGTTCACCTGCCCCACGCTGGAGACAACAAACTTCAAAGTCGGTCAGTAAAATCCATTCCTGTGATTCTCACACAAACAATTTACTCCAAGGCTCATTTTAGTTTTTTATTTACTAGACTTACTGGTTAACAAGCCTGTGGCTCTTATTTTGAAAGTTCAGCAGACTAATTTTATTATAGTTTAGCATTTTTAACCACAAGTTCTTACTTTGAACGTTTAAATCTTTTCAGATCTAGAGAGTGTTTGCTCATGTTATTTACAATGATGACATTAAAACAATATAAAACACTCATCACAAAGAGACACACTATATTGCCAAAGTTATTCATTTGTCTGCCTTCACATTAATATGAACTTGAGTGATGTCCCATTCTTCATTTAGGGGGTTTAATATGATGATCATTAAGAGGCCCTTTCACTTGAACTAAAGGGGCCGAACTCCTGAAAAACAGCCCTGCATAATAATCCCCCCTCCACCGAACTTTACACTTGGCACAGTGCAGTGATACCGTTTTCATGGCAACTGCCAAATTCAGTCTGATCCATCAGATTGCCAGATAGAGAAGTGCTATTCATTTCTCCAGAGAGCTGGTCTCCACCTCTTTACACCGCCCCTCAGTCCAGCGGTGCAAATCGCTCCACTTTGTTATAATCCCACTAACAGTTGAACCTCACTATGGGGTGTTTTATGTTCTTGCTGTTTTATTGTATACACTGATAACCAGTTTCCACAGCTTTCTGATTTTGTATACTATCTTTTTCTGCCACTGGAAAAACATTTTTTCCCCCATCTAGAAGTCTCTTGATAAAACAGAATTTCAGGGCATTTTGACTTCTGCTTCCATGTTCAGGCAGGATCACGACCATGTCAGTCTCCATCTGCAGCAGGTGGAGCTAAACAAGGACTATGGCCTGCATTCTAAAATCATAGTTAATCTGCAGGATGAGATTTATTGGACTGGACTGGCATTTGTACAGTGCTTTAGACTACAAGTCACACTTTATTCATGTCCACAACCAATTTGGAATCGCCAGTTAACCCAGGTAGCACTGAGGGATGCAAACTCCAGACTGAAAGGCTCTAGCTGGGTTTCAAACAGTAAACCACCTTTCTGTGTGGTGACAGTGCTACCCACTGTTCTATTGTGGCATCAGTGTTCAGGTAGTTGGCATATAAAATGCTTACATTAAAGAAAATTAGAACAGGAGGCTTCTTTTTCAGTGAACATGGGGGTGAATATTATACAGAGGCCTCTGTCATTAATTGTTTCTGCCCCTCAAATGATGATCAGGTAGGTGAGACATTCGTGTTATTGTTGGCTGTTCTGCAGGACGCAGTTGTAAACAAATATCAGATCTAAAGGAAAAAGTCCTCACTGCTGCCAGGAGTTAGGACGTTACGTGCTACTGTGGAGAACTCAATGAAACCCCAACTTAAATTTGACATGCTCTTGATAAAACAAAAACTTCTCTGTGCAGTGCGATCATGAGTGTTTCTTTCCTTCAGAGTTTGAAGTCAACGTTGTCGTCGTGCTCCATGATGATCACCTGATCACAGAGAACTTTCCTCTGAAGCTGTGCAGACTCTGAACTTATCATTTCTGAGAGAAGCTCAGAGACCTTCACACTTCTCATCCTGCAACAAACTCGTCTGCCTGAACAGATTATTCAACATGCAACTGAAGCTGGAGAAATTATTCAAACCTTCAGAGACCTCCCTAATAATACATGTTAATGTGACCAAACTCTTTTCTTTTTAAAGTTTTATTTCAGTTTAATAAATTTCTCTTTTGAAACTATTTCATATTTCCTAGTTGTTGTTTTTTAAGGATGTGCAGCATCACAGGGACTGTTCTTTCAGGACCTGGTGGTTTAGAAGTCCAGCTGACATCCAGTCAGCTGCAGCTCTGTGGGTCTAGTCCTGAAAACCTCAGAGCTGCAGCAGAAGTCATCTGAGTACAGCTTGATTAAATGAGTCAGTCAGAATGCAAGTGGGTTTTATAACTTTAATGGGTTTTTTTCCCAGTACAGCTAGTGTTTCAGCTCTGATGTCAGAGCATCTCTGAGTCCAAACCAACACTTTCCTCTTATTTTATTTCCAGAAGTCACATAAGAAAGACATAACCAGCATTTGGTTAGCACAGCTTTGCACGAAGATAAAAATAAAGAAATTTAAAAAAGAAAAATCCCAAACATTCACCCTGGTAGCTGCTCTGAAGCTCACAGATGAAGACTTGTTTAATCAAGTCTGAAAGCGGCACATTGTGGATTTACCGGGACTTCCTCATTCACCAGCTGCAGGAGTCTCAGCAGCTGTCCACAAAATCTAAAATAACCCTTCTTGTTTTATGGCAAATTTAGCCACCATAAAATAATCCCAAGCAAAAAAACACGGAACAGTTATTTCTTTCAATTACATGAAACCTTTCATTTAAAAAAAAGAAAAGTCAAAAGCCTTTTTAGATTTTAATGCAATAAGAAAAGCAAAAAGATAAAAGCGTACACATGAGTAGTGAGAGGAAGCGAGGTTAAGACTTCATGGAGCTGGACGTCTCCGGCCAGTCAGCATGGGGAAATCTTCTGGCAGCAGGGCGTGAGTCCTGCAGGTTGGACAGGTGCTCTGCTCCTTCAGCCACGATCTGATGCACTGAACACAGAAAACAGCACTTTAAAGCCTGAAACTAGACCAGACGCCACATCTGGATGCTTTTCACTAAAAATCCAGTGTGTGGTGTTAACGCTTTCTTCCATTTCCTAGGCCTTTTTATAAAAACAAAACCAAGCTTAGCTCGTATTACATTGTGCAGCCACAATATTACAACCAATAGATGAAGTGAAAATCATGCAGTTCACATGATTTAGCAGCAGCCCTCTTTCTTTGTGGGTTAATATCCCAGCGCCTGTGCAGAACATGGTTAGACCATCCTCTAGTTGCCTTCTTTTCCTTGACCTCAGTGGAAAATGATGTGGAGGAAAATTCCTCAGGGCTAGGAAAAGAAGCACAGTGCTTCTCCACTCAAGACACAAGACTCCTCAATACTTCAGAAGTTGTTGAGAATGTCCTGAAGATGGACTACAACAACTTTCATAGGCCACATGAGAGAAAATATTAGTTAATAACCAACGTCTGGATTTTAAATAAACAAGAATAAACAGCCTATAAAGAAAAAGGACATGTTGCTTATCCAGCTTGTAACCCTGCCTCTATTCAAGCTTAATTAATGATAACACCAATGTTGGCAGTGCTACAAAGGATGTAACTAATGCCGACTAACTCATGACAGACCTTAAAATTCACTTTAACAGGTTTTTATATGTAAATAAGCTTTTAACACAAGGAAATAACTTGATAAGAAGATGCATTATGCTCATAGTTAACCTTTGGGTTTGACGTCCTGTAGTCAGCAGTGTGTCCTTTGCTAAAGGAGGCAATAAAGGAAGCACTGAGGTACCCTACCTTTTTCTAAACACTAAGGAAAATAGCTCCTGTTGTGGCTGCCACACAGATACTGTGCTACAAATCTCTCCAAGCAGAACTCAACTATTTATCTGCTGCCATATTTTGCACCTTGCTTGTTCCACACCTTAGACCCAACAGTTTACCCTGAGTCTCTGGTATCGCTGCTCACCTCATTATGGAAGCTGTGTCTGCACTCCAGCACGCAGGTGTCATCCGGGCTCATTTCGTCATGACAGATGATGCAGGGATCCTCCATGTTCAGCTGCAATCGACATGCACAGTCAGGCCCTGCTAAACGCTCAGCCAACCCTATCAATGCTGCGCATACCAGGCTGTATTAATTAGCAAATGAAACTAGTTCTCAATAAATGCACTCCTTTTGTTTGATGTTTGCTCAAAGGAATCGATTTTTTTTAAAGTAAATTCGAAGATTTACTGGTCACTAGAAATGAGTTACAACTCTGATCAAGGCTTACAACAGCACTGCAAGTCGACAGCAGGAAAACAACACTAACAGTGAAATGATGAAAATGTGCAGCTTCAAACTTGAACACTACTAAATGATGATTTTTGGACTCACAGCGTTGGAACTTCTGACTCTCTGTTGTCCGATTGGCTGCCACACCGGTGCTGGGTTTATCAACGGAGGGGTAGCACACTGAGCTGGACTCCCACGACCCAGAACGCTGGATCTGGTCGAGTTAAACCTCTCCTGAGAGGAAGAAATGAAGTCAAATAGTCAAGAAAATACTTTCTGCAAGCCTCCGCAAATCCTGGTATCAGTCACCTGAGACGGGACCTGTGTGATAAAGTAGACTGCAATATGCTTTTTACTGGTTAGTTTTAAAAAGCGTGAACAGGCCACCCTCTTCTGGCTGAGAACCATGACCTCAGAGCTGGAGGTGGTAATTCTCATTCCTGATGCATCACACTCGATTATGTAACCATAATGACTGAAATTATTCTATTATTCAGCTCTCCTTCTCTTGTGTTGTTCCTTCATTTGCCAGAAGCCGTTATCCTTACTCACATTGGTCAGAACAGTCCAACAATTTTGAGATGCTAGTCTTTCTATCAGGGCATCATGATGGTCCAAATATACCATTGGTTTAGACAACAGATCAGTCCATAATTGGACAGATATGGTGTAGTCTGAACCCAGTATTTGCATCATCTCCCAATTTGAGCTTCGACCAGGAACCTCACTGCAAACCCTTAAAACCACTTTAAGAATGCGTCTACCTGATGGTCCAGGATCAGTTGGGTCACACCTCCGACTACATCCTGTAAAGACATGCTGCTAAAACTTCCACCGCTGGATGAACGCAGCTCCTGAACAAACTTCATCAACTCCGACCTGAGCACACAAACACAGTTAATACATTTTATTAAGTGGGTTTGAACACTATGGTCTAAATGTGAGTCTGCAGCAGGAGGATGACACTTTTCTTTTTAAACAGCTGCTCCAGTGTTACCTTGTATAGTCAGGGAACATGGTGGACAACGTCTCCATGGCTTTGCCGAACACTGTGTTTGGCTGCTGTCCTGGCTCCGATGTCCTGATTGGATGTTTGTGCTGAGAGGGCGGGGCCGGTGCCTCAGCCGCAGGGGGAGCAGAGTGGTGGATGGGTGGAGGAGTGCCGCGTGAGGCCTGAGCTGAAGACTGAAGAGTAAACTCTTTGGCTGTTGCAGAAAGCTGCAACATCCACACAGAAGAGTAGGAAGAGTTAGAAATGTAATGTTACAAGTGAGCTAACAGAGAGATCCTGATCAGGACGTTCGGCCCTTTATCCAGTTCACCATCTGACTGTTAGCTGAATGTGTAATAAATATGAAGTAAATAAATGCTGTCTCATTCAGTGCAAAGGAAGCAAACTATTTTTGACTTCTATTTGATGCACAAAAGCTAAAGAGAATTTATAATAAATGAAGAATAAATCAACATAATACACATACAGCTGCAAAGCTGCTCATGTGATCAGCCCAAGTTATTGATATAAATAAAGCTCAGCTGAGTGTGTAATTTTATTTTTAAAATATATATCCTAGAGAGAAAGCTCTGAGTGCTGTGAGTAAACTAACTTTTTGTACTGGTTTTACTGGAGCAGCTGCAGGTTCAGGATGGCTGTTGACCGGATGCATCTCAGTGACTCGCCTGCCGGTGTTCACCTGATCCATCTGATCCTGGTACTGCCGCTGTGGACCGCGTGGAGACAAAATGTCACAACATCCATGCAGAGCCTCTCATAAACATGCAGACGGTCAAATGATATCAGATTATGTATATCTTAAAGGCAGACCGACTGTGCGTGGTTTTATTTTATCAGGCTGTTCTGGAGTGTCATAAGGTGTGGGATGTCATACGGTGATCTCTCCACACAGGTAAAATATAAGCTGCTGCGTTAAATTCAGTCCACCCATAGAGGTGATGGGCAGGACTGAAGACCTCTCAAGCAATGACAGCTAAACATTTGATGGAGACATTTTTCTAAATGACTGTATAAGGCCTGAGTTTAGTATCGCAGTTATATGCAAAATCTTTGTCGAGTCCTGCTGCTTATGAAGCTGCCCGATCTCACACCTGCGCCACAAACATACGTCTGATCTGAAGGGTTCTTGTACCTCAGCAGTGGAGATTCTCTTTTCCACTTCTTTGATCTGGTCTCTGCAGCTGTTTCTCGCTGCTTCCAGGTCTTGATTTGGGAATCTGCAAAGAAGTCAGATATCACACATAAGCCTGAAAACATCTGAGCTATATCCGGTCCATTCCAACATCAACACCGGCCACTGGGAATATTCACATTCCCAAAGCACCAAGACCTTAATAAGATTCAGCTCATCGAGGCAGAGCCAACCGCTCTCCACTGGCTCAGTAAAATGACGGTGTAGGAGTGCATACCAGGCCGGCATGCAGTCTGGTCTTATGGCACCAGACATAGCCCTACCTCACTCCAGTGCTTTAAAGAAAATCCATTTAGTTTGAACAGGAACAAATTCCCATCCTTTTTAACTCTCATCACTGCTGCGAAAAGCTTCATAAAGAAATTTTAAAAAGTAATTTTCATCTGGTGCATGCAAAAAATAAAAGAGTGCTGCAGACTTAATTTATTTTTGCAAACACTGGACCTTTAAACACAATATAGTATAGTCCCTTTTGTTACTTTACTTAATTACATGCATTGTTTGACTGAGCAGATTTTACTCAGTGTCTTGCTACAGATTACTTTTGGTACTTTAAAAACAGCAAAAGCACTTCAACGTTTCGAGGCCAACTCTTTCCTGCTCTTACCTGTGTAGTGCTTCATCCAGTTTGTTCAGCAAAGCCTTGGCGTCTGCCAG